CAGACAATGTGTTAGTCCCAAAGTTGAGATCATTTCTGTTCTGTAACTATAAATATTTTTTTAAACACAATTAAAATGGTTTACTATGGCACAAACAAAACCAGCCTTACTACTACTGGATTCACACCACAGTGAAATTAAAATACTCAATGACACTCAGAATTGCCCAATTGTTCCTAACCAGAATTTATAATGTCAGATCTTGAACACCAAGTTTATAAGTTAAATAAAAATGAACAATTTATTATGAGTATTGTAAATTTAGCAGAATAACTCTAAACAAGGTAAGCCAGTTAATATCTATGATAGAAACCCAGTCTTCTTTGAGCATAACCCCTAGTCTCTCTCAGCCAGACAGTCAGGCACAGTTAAGGGATAAAGTTAAATATTTGTAATTTGCCAGTTCAATTAAACAATTTGAAATGATGGGTGCCAAGCCTTTATGCAACTCTTGGGTAGAGTTGTTCACAGGTACACAACTGTATACCTAATTTCAAAGTCACTGGTAAAAGTGAACAGATTCAGTAGACTACCAGAAGTATTTACTTTTTTCTTACAGACTGAAATTCTTTTCTCACAACATTTAACAATTCTTTAACTGGCTAGAAAAGTTGACAGTAATACACAGCAGCCAGGAATAAAGCTTTCAGAATCACTCTGCAACTGCCAAAAAAAAACAGATAGAACCCACCTCCTCCCTTTTTTTCTTAAAATCAATATTCTCTGTGGTTGGCTGAATAGAACAGATTATCTCCTGATTGGCCAACTCAACGTCCAACCAGCTGCCATGCCTGGGCATGACAACAATCAGTGTCAAATCATGCACAGTACTCCTTATATCAGTAATTAATTTGTATTAAATTCCAGGTCATTAAACAATAGCAAACCCTTGTGTACGTTTTCTTCTCTTTTAAAATATGTAGCTGTTCAACATTAAACTAATGCAAAGCTCACAGTTCCACCACAATAAATATTGAAAAAGATATAAGAAACATTGTGACAGTCTCTACCAGTTGTTCCAATACTTCCTTAGCTGCCAATTAAATGTATTATTTTTAAAATTTTGAGTAAATGTTTCAAAGTTCCACAATTAAAACAATAGGTAGCGACAGCTATTATAACTGTATTGCAGCACAAGAAATCTTCCTTCTCAGATGCACATATGCTCAAAGGTAACCCACAAGACAGTCATTAGGTGTCCCATTTAAGATAACACAAATGCAGGGCTCCTGTATGATGTATTGAAATGAACAGGTCCTGCAAAACAAAACTAAATTAGATGAAACATTGAATGCATGAGTGTAATGGCCTCCTCCATCTATTGGATTCCATCGTTGAAAAATAAGTGATACACATTAAATGCTGACAGAAATAAAAGATTCATCAAAACAATTTTTGTCAAATTCATCATATTTATATGTTTGTTTATCAAAAACATTACAAATGAAAACAGCATTGTTATAGTTTCATACATCAAATGTATTAGCAAAATCACTCAATGCCCCTTTGCAACTCAAAGATCTCAGTCTCTCATCCTCAACCCGAGGGTTTTCAATTTGTGTCTTGTACAGGGGACCACTTTCTAGCTTGCAGAAACAAATATGCCTCTTATACTCTCATAACAGGTTCAAATAAAGAATCCTGTACAAATTCCTTCCAGTTACATTAGGGGTCACAAGACAATTGAAGACAGCATTGAACTCTGAATGGTTTATTAGGAGGTCAAGTTATGCATGAGGATTAGGAAACAGCTGATAAATGAAAGAGCCATTTTTCATTTGTTCTCCTTTCTGAAGGTAATGTCACAGTCCCATTATTGCTGGATAGGTATAGAACTAAAATTGCTTTAGTGGAAGAAACTGAGGAAGTGGTTTCAGCAAAGATTAATATAGTTGAGATTCATAGTGCCAGAGAACCCAAACACATTTGTCCCAGAGGGTGTAGAGAAATAGGGGAGGTTATAAATGAGCCACAGTCATATATTTGATAGCTTGTTGATCCCAGAAGGTTCACAGGGATTGGTATCAGGCATATTTTCTCCCAAAACCTTGGGATGGCAGCGCTAAGAATGTGGAATATGCTTCAACATGGAGTGATTGAAATAAATAGCACTGATGCACGCAAGAGGGAGAAGAGAATGGAGAGACATGGGAGAACAGTCATGTGGTGAACAAATTGACAAATTAGTTTTCTTTAGGGAAGTTTGGTCACTGAGTCATTTCAAATGCCATTTCATACAGGTAAGTTCAGTGTCATCCACATGAGGAATAGAATGTTGTACTTGTATCCGAGAACAGAAATAAATACTGGGATTGGATTGAGCCTATTTATGATTTCCCCATATTGTCTACAGCAACCATCATAACATTAGCTCAAATTACTACCCAGTAATGTGGAAAATTGCCCAGGTACGTGCAATCCTTAAAAAGTAGATAAATCTAACATAACCAATTATGGCCCACTTCAGTATCCTCTCCATCATGAGCAAAATGTGGAAGCTGTTGTCGATAGTGCAATCAAACAGCACTTGTTCAGCAATAGTCATCTCACTTCATGTTGTACCAGGCCCATTAGGTTCCTGCCCTCATTACAGTCTTGGTCCAAACCTTGAAAGTGAGCGGAATTCACAAGGGGTGGTGATTGTGACCACCCCTGACATCAAGGCAGCATTTGGTCAAACATGGCATCAAAGTGAATGCAAATCAGGGAAGATAGTCTTCACTGGTTGAGGTCTTAACACGCAGAAAAGAAGATGGTTGTGGCTGTTGGAAAAGTAATCATCTCAAACCCTGAGCAGAAATTCCTTGAGGAAATCTCCGAGGACTAAATATCTATAAAAGTCAAGAGAATTCACAACTCCTCAGATAGTGCAACAGTCTGCAGTGAGACCGAGACAACATTCAGGCTTAAGCTCAAAGTGCTACTGAGCTCTATGGAAAAATTGTCTAGGTATGCTCAATTCTCGAAAAGCAGGACAAATATAACACAGCCAATTCCTGCCACTTCAGGCTCTCCATCATCAGTAACATGTGAAGGTGTTGTATACAGTGCAATCAAACAGCACCTGTTCAACAATAACCATCTTCAACAAAAAAAACTTCAATCATTTCCCCTTAACATTCAATGGCATTACCATTATGAATCCCCCACCATCAACATCCTGGGGTTCAGAAACTGAATTGGACCAGCTGATTAAAAACTATGACTGCAAGACCAGATCAGCAGCTGGGAATTTTGTAATGAGTAACTAATTTCATTAATGCCCAAGATCTGCAGTTTATTTCCATGGCGTACATGAGGAGTATGGTGCAATACAGTCCATTTGCCTGGATGAGTGCAGCTCCAACAATTTTCCAGAAGCTTGACACCATCAAAGACAAAACAGCCCATTCAATGGCACCACATCCACCACCTGAAAAAATTCATTTCCTCCACCACTGATGCACAGTGGCAGCATTGTGTACCAGATCCAAAGTTCACTGCAACATCTCTTTAATGTTCCTTCTACAACACCTTCCAAAACCTTAAAGAACGAGAGCAGCAAATGCACAGGAACAACACGATCAGCAAGTTCCCTTCTCAGCCACACACCACTGAAGGTTTATCACTGTTCCATTAAAATACTGGAACTACCTCCCTAATAGCACTGTGAGTGTATCTACACCACATGGACTCCAGTGGTTGAAGGAGATGGCTCACCAGCACCACCTCAAGGGGAATTGAGAATGGACAATCGACAACCACATTCTGTGAAAGACAGAAAGGGTTAAAAGGTTGCTCTCATACATTGAACAACAAAAATCTGAATATGGAGGAAAGAATGGAGATAAAGGGGCGGGGAGAGGAGGATAAAAGCATAAAACAAGCAAAGAGAAATGAGAAAAGAGGAACTTGAACTGATCAGAAACTAGCATTTTGTGATGACCAGTTTCTCAGTTTCAATTGGAAATGGTTCCCTATTTGCAATGAATTTTATTCCACACATAACTAAAGAAAGTAACATTGGATTAATACCAAACTTTAACTTTGAGAATCCAAAAACTACAAATCACTTCTTTTTCAACTCATCATCCAGGTAGTATCTTTAGAATACAAACAGAACCCTGAGAGAAAAAAATAATCTGGTACAACTGTAACACTGTTCCACTTAAGTTTTTAATTTTGTTGTATTATCAAATTTTATTTGATGTTTCCTTTCGCAAAACAAAAAAACCACATGAGTCATGAAATAAACTGTTACAAATAAGCCACATAGCTCAATGACAGTACTTGTGTGTTGTCAGAAACGTTAGTCAAAAAAAAACCGAATGAACATATGCTTAAGAGTAAAATTTGACATTAGATAGTCAAAAATACTGTGGCCTCTGTTGCAGATAGAAATAGAGCTGAACAGTATGGCATATTGACACCCTCAATTTTATTTGATTTACTTTTTTGGGGGGGGGGGGGGTGGTGGAGATGGGGAGAAGAAAATATCATCCAGACTATCAAGCCAGTTCACTCAGTCACTGTTGAAGATGTAGTAACAAGATAACTATTTTGTTTGCTCAATCTTCTGAAGGAGAGCCACAGATAGAATTGCAAACTTGAAGCTGAACTGAATTGCCTAATTTTGACTAAAAGATAGTTCAGTCCTGTTCAGCCTTGCCCTATTTCGAATTGCAGAAGCCATTTCCTTGGAGAGGTATTTTCATAACCTATCCCTGCGAGCTTTAATCTTACTGTTAAGCAGGTATTCATTTCTATTGGACTGACTGGACCAATTCTGATTGTTTTGTCCATTCTAAACAACATCTACTCATTTGGACTGTGAGCCTTACTACTATATATTCCATGAGTCAGATGGATGGTAATCTTTTCTTAATAAAAAAACCCACAAACATGAGATAAATAACTGTATTAAAAACTTAAATGTAATAGTTTTAAAATGGTATCAATTTGTATTAGGTATCGGTCCAATATTTCCAATAAATGTTCTAATGAAATGACTTCGTTTATAGGTTACAAAAGGGGTGATCTGTCATTTCTGGATTCTTAAAGTTGAAGTTCTGTACAAAGTCCGGTGAGTATCAGAACTGATTATAATATCAAGATCCTTCCTTAATCTCATAAATCCCACGTATGCCATTGTGTATACTGTATGTATTTCCCTTTTTTCCTTTCCTCAAGGTGAGGAATTCTGTCTGTGTGATATTCTATGTCAAACAGGAAAATCCAAATTCTGTCACCTAAATAATGATTCACAATTTGAGTTTATACTGTGATGGCTTCAGGCTGATTAAACCATGGGACCATCATAACCAGTTTCAATCCTGATCACTATTTATCGTCAAAGGACACAGTACAGCATTCTTGTCGCTGTGTGGATGACACCGCACTTATCTGTACGAAATGGCTTTTGAAACATCTCACTCACCCATCATCTCTGAATAAAACTGTAACTTAGACTTTTACTCACAGTGCTTGCAGGGCTGCCATTCTCAACACACCACCACATGCCATAACCTTTCTATTCTTTTCACCTTCATGCATGTGTAAATGCTCTCTACTCCAACCACTCCACGTTGGAAGTTTGTTCTACATTCTCACCACTCTTATTCCAAAATTGTAGGGCCAAATCACCTGAAACCAATCCTTATTAATCTTCTGAGATCAGCACGCTATCAAACGTATATAACGTACGCGAACTTGCCAAAGCAGATAGGGTCTATGATGAAAGGATGGAAGCTGTAGCACAATCTCCAATCCTATCTGAAAGGCTTCAAAATTGCTGTTATGTTCCAACATTCATTATGCTCCAAATTTAACGTTACTGTCAAGAGCAATATGTACCATTGTGATGATATTCCAGGATATTATCGTTGACTTCAATTTCGGTCTAAGGTAGCTGCCAGATTGAGTTCAAACAAACAGAGATGTTTGCAGTTAAGGAATTTGACAACTTCAGTCTTGTTCTTGTTGAATTGGAGGAAATTCTGTCTAAACTGCAATCAGGTAATCAGTCTGACAACACAGAATTTGCAGCATGCTGGATATCATCTGCACATGTGTAAGGTTTGTGCTATTAGGCAATGTTTCTGAGGGGCATGCAGAGGTGGGAGGAGAAGAAAGGGGTCAAGATCCTTGTGGTATCAGAAAATGACTGACAAAGACAAAATGGTTACTGGAGATGCATCAGTCTATTTCGGTATTCAAGTGAGGAGTGTTTGAATAATACGCGTGCCGACTTCAGTTCAAGAATTTTGAATGATTAACAATCATCAATAGCAGAAAGGTTATTGTGACCCATGATGTTCACATTTTCTCTCATCATGAGCAACCAATCCAAAATAGGTTTTAAGTCGCCCATTTAATTTTCAATTTTCTAATCACAGTCAAGTCACAAATTTATGTAAACATTATTGCCACTGCTGATTGCACTGAAGAATTGGACCATGTTTCCTCTCACCTTTTAAAAGAAAACTGAAAATAAATGAAGCCCTGTAAATCTAAGAATTTCAAAACCCTAAAGTAGCCTTTTTGTTCATGAACTGTTTCCAGAGATTTGGTCTTGCACAGATCAGTTGCTAAAAAATTATGTATTCCAAACATGTTCTTATAAATGATTTTATAAGATAATAGCAATATTTGATTTATTGTCAATTACATTTGAGGTTATTCCCAGTAGTTTCATTGGCAATGGCTCCACAGTGACAAGAAACCTTCCACGAACAGTCAATAATTGCTCTCCAAAACCCTTGAGTACACGTTCTAATTTACATCCTTTCATTGTCTGCGTTAGAAATACTGTTGCATTTGAATTACTTTATTACTTATCCAAACTGAAGTCATCTTGTTGCATCTTAGCTTAATTGATCTTTATCTTGTGAACCTTTCCTACTCTCTTATATTGATAACAAGGTCACATTGATGGAAATCATGAATGGCTTCACTCAATATTCTATAAAAAGTATCCTTGTCAAAGAATTTGATAGGTCGTACAAACAGCAGTAAATCTACAACCAGCCAGAATGGCACATTGCCCCCTACCTCACTACTCTGACATGATTACCCAATCTCTATGTCAAATTGGTTGAAGGGCTGGGTAGCAGATGAAACAGTCAGTTTCTTCTCTCCTGTTTTTCCTCACTTATGCAATGTGTTTGCACTATGTGTTTTGTCTTCAGGTCACTGTAAACATAGAGGGAGGGAAGGTGCTCAGTGTGAATGTGGTGGCAAATGTGTGTGGGGCTGGGGCTGACTTGCTTCTCTGAAATCTTTCCACAATTGTCTAGATCTGGTTCCATTTTATCATAACCTTTATTTACTTACTAAGACTGCATATAAACATTGATATATACCAGCTTAGTGAGTCTGTTCCATGAGCTGTCTCATCTCATTGTAATGTATATCGCACAATCACATCATGATCCTATATGCTCATATTGTTACACCATTAATCCATAACATTGGAAATAGACATAATGGATTATTGGTTTAACAACACCTTTCAGACAAGGTTTTGTAAAATATTATGTAGAGAAATTCACAACCCCGTTACAATGCATTCTAAATAATATCATATACATAATATACATCTATGTTATATAAATATATATTAAAATATCAAAATAACAGAAATATGCTTATCTGCACAGTGTTTTCTTACAGATTGCTTCTGGTCTCACATCTGTCACCTGCTAGGAGGTGCCATTCAATTTATTACTCATGACTCAAGTTGAGAAATGGTCTGAGGTGATTTGTTATGTAATGTTTAGCAGCACATTCAATATCTTTTGGTCTGCTCTTAATGACGATAGCAGAAATGTTTGTTTCTTAGACTGTCTCACGCTGTTATTTCAAAGTTATTAAAGATCATGCCATCAGACAAAACCAAAGCCATATGAATAAAAATGAGCATTTTTGTGCATTGCAAACTCCAGTGGGAGTTAACCAAAATAATTTGGAAGATCTTGAAGGCTAGTGTCAGATAAACATGGTCTTTCCTGACATAACTTCAGAAAAGTAAGAAAAGAGCTGAATTTACATTCATTTTTGCTTCTGTATTTTATTGTTCCAGATCAAACAACAGCGCCTCCAACAGACAGGCAAGAGAAGAGGATGCAGAGATCAAGCCTGACATGATTGCTGTTAATAATCTGGAGCCATAGTCAGCTCTATATCTAATGTTGTCATGTTGTCAAAAACAGCCCTGTTAGATTTGGAAATTGCACCAATCTACAAGTTTAAAAAAAAATCATAGCCTGGGAATTACAATCTACAAACTTCATTCATTCAAAGAAGGAAAATACAGATCGAAATTGTTAAAACAAAGCATTACTACTCACACCAGTAAAGCTGAAGTTCCATTTTAAGGTATACAAGACCTGTTTGAACTCTTGCCAGTCATTTTGAAGTAAACAAGACCTGTGTGGACTCTTAACAATCATTTTGAAGTTTTATTATTTTTGGTCCTTCTACTAAGGGTTATTGTCATAAAAACTGCAAAACACAGAATGCGACAAAAATAAATTTCAAATTCCACTGTGGATGGAAAAAACTACACTTGGTCACCAATATATTAAAATGCTGGTACATCATTGGAAACCAACCACTTCAGCTCCAGGACATTGCTGGAGGAATTATTCAGGGGAGTATTCAAACCCTACTGTATATATCATAAGGTTAAAATTTACACTGCTTGCACAGGGTTCAGCGCCGTTCAAAATTCCTCATGCATAGAGCAATCTGCGTTTAAATTAAGCCTGATCTGGATAACTTGGGCTGAGAAGTGACAACTATGCACTACTCAAGTTGGAGGCACTGGATAACTTTGACAACAAACAGTCTAACTACCCATTCTTGCCACCATCTTTGCCACCACCAAAATTCAATCACATCAGCCATATGGATGCTGTGGTCAGTAAAACTGCTAGCTGCTCTGCATTCAATGACTCACCAGCTGACTGTAGAAACTCTCTGCACTGTCAACAAGTCACAGAGTGATGAAATGCTCCCTACTTGCCTGCATGGATGCAGCACTGTAACTGAAGTAGTCGAACATCACCCTGGGAATAGCAGTCCACTTGATCTACAATTCATCCAGTAACCTTAATATCCACTCACCTACACAATATCTAATGAAATGCACGGTAGCAATGAGACAAGACTTTTGAACAGCTCTTTTGGTATCTGTGAGCTCCACTGTCTACTAGGTAGCTGTGATATCAGCGCAGCATCAGCAGCTATTTCTACTGTGCCCTGATCTGGACATTCTGACATTTGAACTGATGTGAGGATTCAGACTTTTAGAGAATAAATAACAATATTGACAGAATTATAAGATAAAAATATTCTCAAACTAACTTCATTGAAATACATCTCAAAATCATGAGAATAGCACACTGATAGCTAATAAACTGGTGAATAACATTATATAGCATTTATCAAAAAGTAAAAAAAAGACTTAGAAATGCATTTTTTTCAATGCAATTGCACCCTCATTTTACAACCACCCCACAGAAGCTGAATTCGCACTATTTTACTTTTAAAACTACAGGACAATTTTCATCCAGTTCCCTGTCATTCTTTTGTTGTGATTGCAGTGAAAATGGATTATCAATATTCAACTTCCATCTATTTATTTTAATACCTGACAATTTCAATAATGAACAATAGTTTTAGAAAGCACACCATTGCCCCAAAATGGTTGTTGTGATCATGTAACAAGCCCAAGCAACCCACACAGAGCTTAAAAAGCTGGCTGATTTGGAATTACTGTTATAAGGAAACTCATTGAGGCATCAAGAAATTTGAATTTCTTGTTATGCTTACACTTATCTGATGACCACACATGTTGAGGAGTGAAAGATTGCCTATTACGACCTGAGTTGAAATGAAACAATGATGTAGCCACCAGAATCTGTAAAGGGACAGTATATTAACAATGATTGAAGAGAGAAAGCAACTTTGACTGATAAAATTCTTTCCCTCTCTCAGTTGTTGGACAGAGTCTTTTGAGTTCCTGAACAATATAGACATTGGTGAGTTAATAGGGAAAATGTGGTAAGATCAGAAAAATGCAATTCTGTACTTTGAAAAGTCATGTGCAACCAAGTTTTGAATGAGAATCTCAGCACTGAGTGATGAAAAGCCTATTTGCATCCCATTAGTATTTCATATCATCTCATTGATATGTAGTTTCCTGTTCTCGCCTTTTAGATAGAAACTGGTTGGAGACAATTCCCAACATGAAAGTCAAGGGTCGGTACCTCGTGACAACAGCTTGCTGCCTGTTCCTCCATGCCTCCATCTGAGACAGCAGGCAGGGTATGCTTCATGGACAGTGGCTGCCTGCACACTTCTATCCCTGAGGTTATTATCAGACACTTACCAGCCTTTCTGCATCTTCATGGCCTACTGTACTGAAGGATGAACTAGCGCTTGTGAGAGTTGTGAATGCTGACTGCTCACATTATTGAGGATCCGTTCTGTTTCTGATATTTCCCACACAAGTGAACTGTGACCAATGGACCAGGCACAGTATGGGTTATTGTTGATGTAGCTATGGTACAATGATCATTCATTGACAGGGAATTTGTGGTTGTTTGAGAGGGTGCATGAAAACCAGCAGAGATGGACTGCTGAGGCTGTATAAAGCTCTGGTCAAACAGCAAAGTAAAGATGTGCTGGAATTGGAGGGGATCCAGAGGAGGTTTACAGGAATGATCCCAAGAATGAAGGGCTTGAGGAGCAGTTGAGGAATCTGGGTCTTTACTCTCTGGAGTTCAGATGGAAGTTGGGGAGGGGATGTGGTTAGTGGGGGTGATAGCATTGAAACTTATAGGGTATAGAGAGACCTGGATTGAGTGGATGTGGAGAAGATGTTTCTGCTCGTAGGACAGACCAGAACACAAGGGCACAGCTTCAGCATGAAGAGACGACCCTTTAGAACTGAGATGAGGAGGAATTCCTTCATCCAGAGGGTGGTGCCTCTGTGGATGCATTGCTATAGCAGCTGTGAAGGCCAAGTCATTGACTGTATTTAAGCCAGAGATAGGTTCTTGATTAGTAAAGGGGATCAATGGTTATGGGGACATGGCAGGAGAGTGGGGTTGAAAAACATATCAGTGATGATTGAATGGCCGAGCAGATTCCATGGACTGAATGGCCTAATTCTGCTCGAGTATCTTATGGTCTTCTGGTCTATGGTCAAAGATGGCACTGGTGCTAGGGATGCTAGTTCTTTCCAGGATATCCTAGCAGTGTTAAGGTGTTCCAGTGAGTGGTGGAATGGGGCGAGAATCTGCTGAGAGAGGCATCTTAAGTAGTTAATGAAGTATGTTTATTAAGACGAGTGAGAAAACCTGCTAGGCCTTGTAGATAGAAACCTGTTGTGGACCAGACCCTCTCAAAATATAATAAAAAGGCAGCGTAGACTCTAACTTTTTCTTATTTTAGAGGTAGGTAAGAGCTGCTGCATTTCGGTTGGTCAAACTACTCGACGTTAAGCAAAACACAGTTTATTCAAACACTACAATTAAAATACAACAAAAGAAAGAGGGACTTGGAATAACGTAACTCTATTGGAAAACTTAACAGAATAACAGATTATTTTACTATTAAACAGTAATTGTTCCAATATAGTAATATCCCATAAATACACACTCGGCAAAAGGCAAATTCAGAAGTCAGATTGTCTCAGAGAGAGGTGGTAGCTTTTCCACAAGCTCAACAGCTTCTGCTGAAAACCAAAGATCCTGGTTCTGTGGGTGGGAGCTTGACCACACCCATTCAGGCTCCTCCCATTGTTCCAACTTTTTTTTTAAAAAAAACAACCAATGCTTCACAAGTCATTTATCTTCTCATAGATTACTCGACACCTGTGCCCTAATCTCTCTCAAAGAAACCAGGTCAAAACACAACTCCTCAAACCATAGTATCGTCACAAACGCTCCTTCAAAATGCAATGAAACAGACAATTAGTCAGAAATCCAGGAGATACAACCCGCAAGCAAACAATTGGTCTCTTTCCTGTAGACTTTCTATGTTTAAGTTCACAAAAAAGGGCAATTCCTCTTCAGCTTTCTGTTTTAACACATCCAGAATGCTAAAAGGTTATATGTTTCCTGATTGATATTTAATACCTTAGACCCTTTCCATACCTTGAGGGGTGATCAATAATCAAGGAAAAAAATATGTAATTTCTGACTGGGCGCTCAATACCTGGTTCTACAGCAAAGGACAACAGGAAGCTATGTCTTTCTTATACCCTGACTGCATGTAATCAAAATCTGTGCCAATGAAGCCCTGGTTTGCCCCTGCATCGTCTGCTCCACGAGTGGTCAAATGTTAGGTCATTCCTCATCAATGGAACATTGATGAACTGCATCAAAATGCCCTTTTGCTCTACAAAAAACCCCAAACCTAAATACGCTTCATAAGCATCATCGATGTGCATCTTGTTTCGATGATCAATTTCCATGACCAAAATAGTGATCCCATGAAATCAGAAGAAGCTTACACAAGAAATTTCATATTAAATTTGCTGAAGTATTTGTTTGGGCAGGGGAATTGACCATTACTATTGCATGCTTACAGAACCCTTATATTCCAACTAAGGCCAAACAAGCAAACTCAACAGTAGCCAATTTGAGATAGTAGGAACTGCCGATGCTGGAGTCTGAGATAACAAGTTGTGGAGCTGGATGAACACAGCAGGCCAAGCAGCATCAGAGGAGCAGGAAAGCTGACGTTCCAGGTCTGGACCCTTCTTCAGAAATGGACGATTTGATATGTGCCCATCATGCCTCATGTACATTCTCACAGCACAATTGACATAACTAGAGACATGTTATGTAGATGAAAATTAATCAGTCACTTCGTCATTTCAGGTTTGTCAGGTGATATTAACACAGTTATCATATTCCATGATTGATTCAAAATCCTGAAACTTCTTAACCAATGGCATTGTAGAAGCTTCTCCAGCAGATGGACTACAACAGTTGAAGAAGAAACATAAAAACTGAAGGAACTGTGGATGCTGTAAATCAGAAACAAAAATAGAAATTGATGGAAAAACTCAGCACGTCTGGCAGCATCTATGTCGAGTGACCCTTAGAGCTTTCATTCATTTCATTCGGTTTTTATTTAATATTTACTCACTGCTGCATCTCTTCTAGGCATGCCTACCTTGAAGAATTTCT